AAAAAAAAAAATTAATAAATAAAAATAATAAGACGTATTTTGAATTTTATACATATGGTTTGGTAAATATATACGGGAATGTCATTATGACAATCTGAAATTACGATCACAATAGGTATCCCCTAAATAAGCTACCATAGCTCAAAATGCACGCTAACTGCATATTCAGCGGAACGCATGCCTGCGCATGTATGTGTGCGCATTTAATGCTTTATTTGATGCACAAAATAGCGAAATATTGGATTGTCGCCTAAAGCCCTATTAATCATATATACATAAAAATAAATAAATATTCCCACAATAATTATTCTATTATTAAATTATGGTTTTATTTTCCTTGTCTAGTTTTTGTTGAAAAATGGCATTGATGGTGCAACGCCATTTCGATTTATAAATAATTTTGAAAGACACTGAAGGTTGGAATTCTTCCTCGACTTCTTCCTAGATTTCTTCTGTATGCCGAATCCTTGATAACCGCCTCGACCATGCGATGTCAGTGTTAACTGTTTCTGCACATAGAATTTCGAATGTTTATATATACTGATACATGTATTACTTTCCTTGTTTACTTACCAGAGCGAAAATGGGAAACGCAAAGGACAATATTCGCAAACAATTGAAACTACCACGACGTTCCCCAACAGCCATAATGACAGCCGCCCAAGCCCCGACATGCGCCAGCCATTGAGCCATAGCTGGGATCATAGAATCCGCTCGGGGCACAGCTGCCGCAGGAGCCGATACAGGCGGCAGGATAACAGGGCCAGCTACACATGGTGATTTGGTAAGAGCTACAAAATGAATTAATTCGAATAGTTAATAAATTAATATATATGAAAGTAGTAGATTAAATTTTTACATTTATTCGGCTACACGAAAATAGGAAAAAATTTCTAGGTTTTCCAAAGTTATTTATTTTGTAAATTGTTTCCGAGAGGTTAAAAGGATGATGTTAAACTGAATAAGGGAGAATAATTCACACAAGCTGCTCGAGTAGCCTGACTGACTGAGACGTCAGCAACTGCTTTGTTCACGAAAATAATTCAATTTAAAATAGCAGATCTTCAAATTTCTCACACAATTTTAATTAAGTTCTTCACATGCTTTTGTTACACCTTACATTTAATGGCTGTCACTCTTAGGCTGACAAAATATATATACATACATTTATAAGAGAGACAATGAAGAATCTCTGCTTAAAGTGCCAATAATTAAGTTAAGAGCCACATGAATTAAAAACTGCCGAGGCTGAAGGCAAAATGTTGAGTGCATGAAAGACAAAGCGGAAATTAATATCACGCACGCTGTGCGACAGTGTTGAATAAATTAAATGATATTAGTCGCTACTTTGTATATATATATATATATCTATATGTATGTATATGTATATGTACATATGTATGTGCTATATATTCTTGTGGTTTATGTTGCTCTTGTTGTTGCGCATACGCAGCGTGTGACGGGCAAAGTCGAGCGACTTGTCAATGCTGTCAGACCATCAACTCAATAGCTATCTCTTTCCCTTCTCTCTCTCTCTCTGCCTCTCTCTGACTCTCTCCAAAATTAAGTGCGAAAATGTGCAAATTAGATTTTGTGGTTGACGTAAAGACTCCAACACACCCACACCCCCACACACACTTACACCCAACAATGCGGAGCAAATGGGACAACAACAACTCACCTTTAATTACAGCTAGTCAATGCGGCGTATACGCAACGCGGCATCCAGTAAGCAACAAGAACTTTTTGACACCACGCATATGAATTAATTAGCAATTGCCAGCACACAGTCTGCCTGACATGCTCTGCTATTTACAAGCAGCCTTCCTTCCCCCTTCACTGACAACTAATATATGGTGTATATACGAGCATTAAATTAAGAATGTCGAAAGTTGGCGAAATTCGCTGCGAGATTGTCGACAATTTAATACACTAAAAAAATTATTTAAAAATTATTAAAAATACCTACCGAATTAATTAATATAAACA